AGGAAGGAAGGAAGGAAGGAAGGAAGGAAGGAAGGAAGGAAGGAAGGAAAATAGATAAATCAGGACGGGCAAGGTTTTCAGTGGTTAAGAGCACTGGTGGCTCTTGTGGATGACCTGGGTTCAGTTCCCAGAACTCAAATAATGGCTCACAACCATCTGTAATTCCAGGGGATTTGGTGTTCCCTTCTGACCTCTGTGGACACCAGCTACACACATACATACAGACATACATACAAGCCAAACACTCATAGACATGAAATAATTCCAGTAACTCATCAGGCAGAGGCAGGAGAGGCTCTGTGAGTTTGAGGCCAGCCTAGTCTACACAGTAAATTCCAGGTAAGCCAGGGTTTTATGGTGAGACCCTGTGTTAAAATACACATGTATTTTCCAGGATAGTGCTGAGGGCTTGCCCAGCGCCTCCCAGGTATGTGTCCTCGTCATATGCTTGGCTCGGTGCTCCTTCCACAGGAAATGGTGAAGTCATGGGTGAAGCTTTATAAGGGTCTTGAAACTATAGTGTGGTCTGGGTGCGTTTCCTGGAACCCCAGTACTTGGGAGGTGGAAGCAGGAGGATCAGGAATTCAAGGCTAGCTTTAGCTACATAGGAAGTTTCTGGACAAGCAGAGGTCGTGGCTCAGTTGGCAGAGAACTTATGTAGTATGCCTGAGCCAGGGTTCCAGCCCTATCCTGTCCTGAAACAGACGAGGGGTTATACACCCATCAGCCTGATACTGTGGAGGTGGAGTCAAGATCAGCAGTTTGAGGTCAGAGGTCATCCTTGGCTACTGGAGGCCAGTTGGGACTATAAGAGGCCATGTCTCAAAATAACAACAACAACCATAATAACAATAATAATAGGCTAGACGAATGGCTCAGAGGTGGCTCAGTGGTTAAGGGCTCTTGCAGAGGACCGGAGTACAGTTCCCTGCCTCACAACTGCCTGTAACCCCAGCTCCAGGGAATCTGACGCCTTTGACCTCCACAGACAGGAACATATACACATGATAAAAATAAAATAGGGCTGGAGAGATGGCTCAGCGGTTAAGAAAACAGACTGCTCTTCCAGAGGTCCTGAGTTCAGTTCCCAGCAACCACATGGTGGCTCACAACCATCCGTAATGGGATCCGATGGCCTCTTCTGGTGTGTCTGAAGACAGCTACAGTGTACTCATATAAATTAAATGAATAAATAAATATAAATTATTTTTAAAATGTTAAAAAGCAAACAATACAAGCATGTGTATGTATATTTGTGTGCTGGGCAGTATCTGGGGGTGAGTCTCTACCTAGGTGTGTGGGGGCTGAAGCCGGAGGAGTGTGTGTGTGTGTGCGTGCATGTGTGTGTGTGTGTCTGTGTGTGTCTATTTGTCTGTGTGTGTGTGTCTGTCTGTGTGTCTGTGTGCATGTGTGTCTGTGTGTGTGTATCTGTGTGTGTGTGTGTGTCTGTGTGTGTGTATCTGTGTGTGTGTGTCTGTGTGTGTGTATCTGTGTGTGTGTGTCTGTGTGTGTGTATCTGTGTGTGTGTCTATGTGTGTGTCTGTGTGTATGTATCTGTGTGTGTGTGTCTGTGTGTGTGTATCTGTGTGTGTGTGTCTGTGTGTGTTTGTTTGTGTGTGTGTGTGTCTGTGTGTGTGTGTGTCTGTGTGTGTGTGTTTGTGTGTGTCCCAGAGGGACTGGAAACAAAACTGGGGGATGCTGTCCATGATAGAGGATAAATTACAACAGGCTTTTGCTCCTTGGTGCATGGAGGAGACAGCTTGTTTTGTGGGGAGGATTGGGAGGCAGGGGCTGTTCTGGGTCAGGGTCCAACCTCAGGCAGGAGGGCTAGGTGGTTAGAGGAGAGAGGCAGCAGGTGGGAAGTGGAGTCGCAGACTGAGCAAGAAAATCTCAGAGACAGAGAGACAAAGGAGGGACCAGCGGTGAGGGCGAGCCAGGTCAAATGGTAGAGAGAAGGCTATGGTATCAGAGGGCCTAACAGGCCTGGATGGGCAAGGCTGGACACTATACGGGGTACACTCCTGTTTACTTCTCCTATGTCATCCACTACCCTTCAAAAGGACATCATTGTACCCTCTTCTACAGGATGGGAAACTGAGTCTAGGCCAGGTGAAGTCAGGTGTGGCCTGAAATAAGGGGTGACGTGGGGTATCTAGGTACAAAGATGAGTCCACCTGTTCCCAGGAGTAACACGCAGGGAAGGAAGAATGGGGTTCTGAGATCTCAAGCCCTTCTGTGGTTTCCCCCAGCATCCATGTCTACAGAAAGCCTGAGCCCCACTCCTGGCCCTGAGAGCAGCCGCTGGAGTCTGGTAAGGGCCAGGGTGATGGAGGTGGTGGAGCCACTGGTGACCAAAACCAGGGACAGATGGCAGTGGTTCTGGTGAGAGTTCTGGTGCTCAGATGGAAGGGGACAACAGAGTTAGAGGGGAGAGAGAGCCCATGGCTAAACCCTGGGTCTGAGGGAGGAGGGCCGGGGCCCTGGATTCTTGGGTCTGAGGGAGGAGGGCCGGGGGCCGGACTCCTGGGTCTGAGGGAAGAGTACATAGACTCTGGAATCTTGAGTCTGAAGAAGGTCAGAAGTAAAAAGGATCGAACCCCTGTGATATCTGATTTGTCACCTGAGATGTCCTCTTTACACAGGGGCCCCCAAGCTGTCCAGGGCTTTGTGCAGGCCTACTATGAAGATCATCTCAAAGACCTGGGTCCCCGAGCTCAGGCCTGGCTACAGAGCTCCAGAGACCACCTCCTGAACAAGACCCACAGCCTGTGTCCCAGACTACTCTGCAACGACCGGACTCAGGGTTAAAGTGCCATGTACCTCCCTCCCCTGGCACCCACAATAAAGGTGTTTGCTCTTGATCTGTGTCACCGGACGCATAGCTCCTCTTGAGGCCAGAGGTCAACCTTCCGTCATATCTAGGAGTTAATAAGTGGAAAAGTTGTCACCTGGCTGGGGAGGACACGAGGAAAGCTTTAGGGGAAGGGGCCAAAATGATAACCCCCCACCCCCAGCCCACGGGTTCCGGCCTGAACTGAACAGGAGACTTCCAGGCGCCAGCTCAGATTCAGGAGGCAAAGTCTTGGAGGCCAGTATGGGTCAGGTGACCCATATCCTTACAATGTCCCTCTCTTCCAAGAACATGCAGACCGTATGCAGTATTCCAAGTGGGTTCCACAAATCCAGAAAGCCCTCCACAATATCCAACCACACCTCTCTCTCTCAGGAATCGGGGGATTGTCTCTTTTTTGTGGGAGACGGTAGGGGGAGGCTCTAGGGATCGAACCCAGGGCCCAACACGTGCCAGGTCATGCCCTGTCACTGAGTCCCAGCCCCAGGGTTCTTTTTGAAATTACATTTATTGAGGGTATGACAAGGTAGCTGAGTGGCTAATGTGACAGACTTCCAATTATTATATTTATGTGTGTGTGTGTTTGTGTGTGTGCACCATGTATACATGCAGGGCTCAGAAGACAACCTTCAAGAAGCGGCTCTCTCCCTTTATTCAGAGGACTGAACACGGGTCATCAGTCTTGGTGACAAGCTCCATTACAGGATGGGCCAGCTTTCCAGCTATCCTGGAACTTGCTTTATAGACCAGGCTGGCCATGGTGGTATAAACCTCTAAGATCTGGACACCCTCAGCTACACAGAGCATTCTGGGGATAGCCAGAGCTACGTGAAACCCTGTGTTTGACTAAAACCATAACAAAGCCTTTTCATTTTCAGATAAAAATCTTGCTAAGTTGCCCAGCAGTTCCCGGACTCACTCTGAATTCTTGATCCTCCTGCCTCAGCCTTCTGAAAGAGCTTGAGGTTACAGCCCTGTCCAGTTTGTGGGTGACTTCTCAAAGTGGGGCTCCCCTGAGGTTTGACCTGACAGGGAATGTCACCGGCCATTACCCTTCCAGGCCTGCCACCCCACCCCCTCTGTGGCTCTGTTGGCCAGGACTTTGGCCTAGGACGGAGGAGCTGCCTGATATGAAGGAGGGGGCCTCAGAGCTATAAAGCCGGCCAGCCCACTGGAGTTAGCGAGGACAGTCCCTTCCTGCCCATAACATTCAGGTAAGAGGTGGACCGAGGGGCGGGGGCTGAATATGAGGGGAGAAGATTCCTAAATCTGAAAATTACAGGAATAATCACCTTAGATGTCCGTCTTACAAACACGGGATTGAAAGACTTTCTTCCTTCCTTCCTTCCTTCCTTTCTTTCTTTCTTTCTTTCTTTCTTTCTTTCTTTCTTTCTTTCTTTCTTTCTTTCCTCCTTTCTTTCTTTTTTTAGACAGGGTCTCACTATGTAGCCCAGGCTAGGCTTGAACTTCCGTTCCTCCGGTCTCAGCCTGACCAGGCATGCTTTGGCGTGCCTGACTAAAACCGTGGAGGTTAGAGTTGTGCTCTATGTGTTTACCTTGGCCCTTCTCCCAGGTTTCATCTCTACCTCTTTTTAAGGCATCTTTTTTTTATTTGCTTGCTTATTTTGTGCATATGGATGTTTCGCCTGCGTGTGTGTCTGTGCATCGCACGGGTGCTTGACTCCCCAGAGAAGCCGGAAGATGACACTGGATCCCCTGGAACTAGACTTACAGCTGTTTGTGAACTGCCTTGTAGGTAGTGGAACTCAAACCCAGGTCCTCTGGAAGGGCAGTTAGTGCTGTCCCTGCCACTGAAACCCCTCCACCCCCATTGCTTTCCGGCCTGGATTTCAGCCCCTTGCTGTCTCAGTTTCTCATCCTCAAAATATGGATGATGGTTTTGTGCCCTGATTATACAACCCTCGGAATATGGGAGAGGACAGGTGAGCAAAGCAGAGACAAGCTGAAGAATCTGAAGACACCAGAATCAGAAGAGTCAGGTGTGACCGGTGTCCCAGGGTGCCCCCCCCGTCTGTCTCTGTTGGTCTCTATTTCTGTCTGTCTGTCTGACTCTCCCTCTCTTTCTGTCTTTCTTCTGTCTCTGTCTGTCTGTCTGTCTGACCCTCTGTCTCTGTCTCTCTGTCTCTCCGTCTCTCCCTCTCTCCCTCTCTCCCTGAGACAGAGAGGGTTTCTCTGTGTAATAGAGCCCTGGCTGTCTGGACTCGAATTATAGACCAGGCTGGCCTTTAATTCACAGAAATATGCCTACCTCTACCTCAGGAATGCTGGGTTTAAGGCGTGCCCCACGATGCCTGGCGACCTTGGACTTCTGAACCTCCTGCCTCCACCTCTGAAATACTGAGATTGAGCGATGACACCACCACTGCATGGCTGGCTAAATTACTTTTTCTTATAGTTTATTTATTTGCACATGCGTGTGTTTGCATGTGCGTGTGTGTGCATGTATATGCGTGTGTTTGCATGTTGCATGTGCCATGGCACACATGTATAAGTCAGAGCGCAACTTGCAGGAGTTGGGTCTCTCCTTCAAGTCCCCTGGCTTGAAGGCAGATACACTTGCCGGCAGGACCATCTCACGCAGTGTGCCCAGCACCACCCTCAAGATTTTAACAAATAATTTGATTATTTTTAAAACGTTTGTTTACATTGCCTACAAGTCCAGGGCTGTTTAGGCCTCCAAACAACTTTCCTGAATGAATGAATGAATGAATGAATGAATGAAGATATGTGTCTCAGTTTCCTTGTCTGCCTTTCACTAGCATGTAGGAGACCTGAGTGACATCCCTACCACTTAAAAATAAAAGAAGTCTCTGCCATTATGTCACATGATAGTTGGTCATTTCAGCACCCTAGAGACAAAGGCAGAGGACTGCTGTGAGTTCAATGCCAGTCTGATCTACTTAGAAAGAATCTAGTTTGGGGGTCTTTCTTTCTCTCTCTCTCTCTCTCTCTCTCTCTCTCTCTCTATCTATCTCTCTTTCTTTCTTTCTTTCTTTTTTTCTTTCTTATTAGAAAGGAGAAACAGGGAGTGTCAGATCTGAAGGGCAGAAGAGGGTAGAGTGCTTGAGTGGGATGCTCACATGAAACTGGATATGGAGATTCCACATATGTGATTCCACCATTCCAGAGGTCATCCTAGGGAGTTCAAGGTCAGCCTAGTCTACTTAGTCAATTTGAGGCCAGAGACTACATGAGACTTTGACTATATGAGGTTTGGTTTGGTTTTTAAAAAGTGGGCCGGCCCTTGAGCCACGGCTCAGTGGTTAAAAGTGCCTGTTGCTCTTGCAGAAGACTTGGGGTGGCTGGGCTTAGCTGGGCTTTGGTGGCACTCACCTTTGATCCCAGCACTGTTCCAGGCCAGCCTGGTCTACAGAGCAAGTTCCAGGACAGCCAAGGCTACAGAGAAACTCTGTCAAAAACAAAAACAAAACAAAACTCAAAAGCAAAACAAATGAACAAAACCCTTGGGTCTGGTTCAGTAATATCTGTAATTCCAGTTTCATGGAATCCAACCCATTTTCTGGCCTCCACAAGGACTAGGCCTGCACTGAGTGCATTTATATACATTAAGGGAAACCAGCCATACACATTTATTTTATTTTATTTTATTTTATTTTATTTTATTTTATTTTATTTTATTTTATTTTATTGTTGTTGTTTTTTTGTTTTTGGTTTTTTTGTTTTGTTTTTGGTTTTTGTTTTTGTTTTTTTTGTTTTGGCTTGTTTTGTTTTGGTTTTGGTTTTTCGAGACAGGGTTTCTCTGTATAGCCCTGGCTGTCCTGGAACTCACTCTGTAGACCAGGCTGGCCTCGAACTCAGAAATCCGCCTGCCTCTGCCTCCCAAGTCCTGGGATTAAAGGCGTGCGCCACCACTGCCCGGCTACATTTATTTTATTATTATCATCATTTTGTTATGTTTTTTTTTTCCAGACGACGGGGTATCGCTCTATATAGTTCAAGTTGTCCTAGAATTCACACTGTAGACCTAGACCGGGTTGGCCTTGAACCCATAGAGATCCACCTGCTTTTGCCTCCCAAGTTCTTGAATTAAAAGCATACACTACTATGCCTGGCTACACACACACACACACACACACACGCTCAGATGTAATGGCACATACTCACTCACACACACATACACACACCCAGGAGTAATGGCACACATACACACATGCCCAGGTATAATGGCACACACATACACACTCAGGTGTAATGGCACACACCACCATCCCTAGTGCTTCAGAGCTCAAAGCAGGTGACCCTCTGAGTTGGAGGCCAGCCTGGTCTACATAGTGAGCTCCAGGCCAATCAGTGCTACCTATGGAGACTTTGTGTTATCCCGCCCCCCCCCTTTACTCCCCCCCCCTCCTCAAAAAACAACCCTCTGGAGTAGAATTTCAGGAGAGACCTCATTTGGATTAACAGGTTTCAAGTCATTGTTGGGCAGGAATAGGGAGATACTAGGGTCCCATCCACCCCTGGTGAGCAGGACCAGAGGAGTGCACTGCCCAGTGATCCCACTGTCTGACATAACCGTGTCCTTGATGCTCCAGGTCCCAGACAACATGGGGTCTCGGTTCTTCCTGGCTCTATTCTTGGTCCTCCTGGTGTTGGGAAACGGTAAGTGGGTGGGGTGGGCAGCAAGATGATGGGGAGGGGGTAAGGAAGGGGCGGGGTGACCCTCAAGCACCGCCCCACTTTCCTCAGCCATTCCTTCATCTTCCTATCCTGCTTCCACTCACTCAAAGTCCCCTCAGCACCTCGATCTAACTTTCACACTTCCCACAGAGGTCCAGGGGACCCAGGAAGATGATCCAAGCAGCCCAGCTCTGCTGGACACGATGCAGGAGTCCTTCTTCAGTTACTGGAGCTCTGCCAGGGCGGCTGCCGAAGGCCTCTACCAGAAGACATACCTGACCAGCGTGGATGAGAAACTCAGGTGTGTCCCTCTCAGTGGGGACAGATTCCAGCCTCCTTCCTCAGATCTAGTTCAGGCCCCAGCTCTCTTCCCTCAGACCCTTCTTCCTTAGACGCATGAGTCTAAGCTCCGGCCCTCCTACCTCAAAACCTAGGAATCCAGACACCGGCCTCCTCCCTCAGACTCGGGTTCAGATCCCAGCTTCCTCTTTCAGGCTCAGAGTTCCATGCCCAACCCTTTCCCCTTAAACTCATGGATCCAACCCCTAACCCTCCTCCCTCACACCAAGGGGTTTGGACCCCAGCCTTCCCCTTCAAACTAAGGACTATAGGCCCCATCCCTTCTCTCTCAAATGCAGAGGTCCAAACCCTTCTTTTTTCTCAAAATCTCAGGGCTCCAACCTCTAGGCTCTTCCTTCCAACCTCTCCCTGTGCTTTCTTCTCTCCAGGGACATGTACAGCAAAAGCTCGGCGGCCATGAGCACTTACGCGGGCATTTTCACGGACCAGCTCCTTACTCTCCTCAAAGGAGAGTAGTTGCTACGCAAGCCCCAAGTTAGGGGAAAGGAAAACCGGACACCCCGCCTCTGCTCTCATCACCTGACCAGGATGGTTCTACATCGCCCGGTCTCAGCAGCTCCCGTTTTCCCACTCCCAACTCTAGACCAAATTCTTTCAGTGAAAGAATAAATGAGTCCAGGTTCATGGGCGTCAGTGTGGCTTCTTTTCTGAGGTTCCCAGAGCCAAGATGGAGGGTCTTTGGAATCTAGTCCACATTTGATCAGTGTGGTTTTATGACAAGGTGGTTAGCGTCCTGTGTTCCGGACCTTTGGTGACTACCCAGATGTCTGTGGCTTTCCCTCAAAACCTGGTCCATTGGAGTGAATGTTGAGTGCTAGCCAGGCATTCGGGTTCGCACATGGAATCCTAGCACCTGAGGCCAGAGGCAAGGATCGTAGCAATTCTACGTCCAGCTTGGGATACAGAGTGAGTTTTAGTTTTCTTTCTTTTTCTTTTCTTTTTCTAAAAATATTTATTTATTTATAGGGGTGGGTGGGGTTGAGACAGGGTTTCTCTGTGTAGCCTTGGCTGTCCTGGAACTCACTCTGTAGATAGACCAGACTGGCCTCAAACTCAGAAATCTTCCTGCTTCTGCCTCCCAAGTGCTGGGATTAAAGGCGTGCGCCACCACGCCTTTATTTATTTATTTATTTATTTATTTATTTATTTAAAAGGTTTTTTTTTCATGTACGTACACTGTAGCTGTCTTCAAACAGCCTGTAAGAGGGCATCAGATCTCATTGTGGATGGTTGTGAGCCACCATGTGGCTGCTGGGATTTGAACTCATGACCTCTGGAAGAGCAGTCAGTGCTCTTAACCACTGAGCCATCTCACCAGCCCAGATTTATTTATTTTATTTATACATGTACACTGTAGCTGTCTTCAGACACATCACTGGCATTGGAACCCATTACAGATGGTTGTGAGTCACCATATGGTTGCTGGGAATTGAACTCAGGACCTCTAGAAGAGCAGTTAGTGTTCTCAACCATTGAGCTAATCTTTCCAGCCCTAGTTTTCTTTTTAAAATTACTTTATTACTTTTTTTTGTTTGTTTGTTTGAGATAGGCTCTCTCTATGTAGGCTTGACTGTCCTGGAACTCACTGTATAGATCAGGCTGGCCTAGAATTCAGAGTTCTGCCTGCCTCTGCCTCCTGATTGCTGGGATTAAAGGTGTGAGCCACCACCACTCTGCTTTTTTTCTTCTTTCTTTCTTTCTTTACACAGCAGGATTTTTGAGGCCAGCCTGGTTGGCAAAGTAAGATCTATCGTTAAACAAAATAAAAACAACACACACAGAAAACTAACACACACACAATTTAAGAATTATGAATTATACATATACATATACATATACATATATATATATATATTTTTTTTTTTTTTTGGTTTTTCGAGACAGGGTTTCTCTGTGTAGCCCTGGCTGTCCTGGAACTCACTCTGTAGACCAGGCTGGCCTCGAACTCAGAAATCCACCTGCCTCTGCCTCCCAAGTGCTGGGATTATGTCGGGCGCTCAAGACCTCGCCCTAAGATGGCACCGGCTGCCCGAGAGCCATGGACTAAACAAGCCCTTATTTGGCAAGTGAGGCTGCACCCTGAGTGAGGAGATCTCCCGTGATCTGACGCGGGCCTGTGGAGAGATGAGACGTGGTACACACTGATTGGTCTCTGCAGGGTTATAAGCCTCGGCAGGAAGGGAACGGGGTCACTTCTGCTAAGCTGAAGAAGAAGCCTGAGTAAACCGCTTTGAGAAGGAGCCTGAGTGTTGTGTGTTTTGTTCCCTCGGGTCGGGAGAAGTGCACGACAGGATTAAAGTCCTGGGCCACCACTACCTGCTCAATAAACAATTTTTAACCTTTCCAAAATACCCAGATGTTGGGGGTATAGCTCAGTGGTAGAGCATTTGACTGCAAAATACCCAGATGTGGCTGCTGGAATACAGTACTTCCAAAGTCCTGGGGCAGATAGGGGCAGGGAAATCAGGAGTTCAAGGTGATTCACAACTGAGTTGTGAGTTCAGAACCAGCCTGGGCTACATGAGACCCTGTCTCAAAACCAAACAAAATTAAACAGACAAACAAAACCAGGATGGTAAGGTGGCTCAATGACTACAGGTGATCTGTCCCCAGGACCCACATAAAGACAGAAGGGGAGACCTACTCCACAAAGCTGTCCTCTGGCCTCCACTTTTATGCGGTGTATGACACATGTGAGCACACACACCAGCACATAGACACAATAATAACTCAGGGCTGGGGCCTTTGGTTTGCCCATGTGAGTGTCCTCAGCCCAAACCAGAAAAAGCCGGGGAACGAATTCTCCAAACAGACACCTGGCACAGAGGAAAGGCCTGTTGAGGCTTGAAAGGCACTGATAAAGCACTAAGAATTTGATGCCAGAGTTGCCAGGGGCCCAGGAGGACACACACTGAAACCTGGGCTCTTGGACAATTCCAACATATTAACTTCCTATGCATTTTACCAAAAATCTTGCTAGGTAGGGGGACAGGACATAGCAGAGAAAAAGGCAGCCGTGCTTTCACGTAGCCTCTGACAAAGAGCCAGCGGTGTTGTGTATGCTGGCACGTGTTTATAATCCCATTACCTGGGAGGGAAAGGTGAGCAGATCTCAGTGAGTTAGAAGTCTGATTGGTCTACAGAGCCAATTCCAGAATAGGTGGGGCAGAACAGAAAGACGCCATGCCAAAAAAAAAAAAAAAAAAGACAATAGTACCCTTTTGATGATTAGAGCTTTGCTGTATGTTTCATTTGGCTGTTCTTTTTTGTTTATCCAAGATGGGGGTCTTAAGGGCAGCTCGCCCAAGTTCTCCGGTCTCATCGTGAGGACTGACAAGACTGTGCGCCTCGCTCCTGTGCCCTATAGGGGGCGCTGTTGGTCCCGCCGAGGACCCATGGCCTGGATTCGTCCTAATCCGTTTGGCAATAACCAACTCCTGGGGCAATTTTCCCAGGTCCTGAGGCTGGGCAGCTGTGAGCCCAGTAGAAAACAGGGACTGGGAAGGAGGGGCGGTGGGAAGACTCCCAAGAACCTAGGGCCTGGGAAGAACTGAGGCTGCCAAGCTCTAGGGGTGCCTGGGAGGGGGAGACGCACGGGGAACAATCCCTCCTCTGTCCGGTGTTTCCCACAGACTCAAGCCAAAGGGAACCACTGCCCAGGCAAATTCAGCTCCCAGCCAATCCCAGTGCCGCCCCCCAAATGCTTTTTTTTTTCTCAGATCCTCACCGCTTCCGTTTAGGACCCCAGAGTCCAGGTGCCCAGATTCTGCCTAAGACGGACTGCTCTGAGCCCTGGATTTCTCCTCTCTCAGACTTAAGACTCTGTACCTTGAGTCCTGTCTCCTAAGATTCAGAAGATGAAAGTGCCATCCCACTTCTCCGTTAGAGACTGAAAACACAGTTCTTGATGGTGTCGGGTGCCCCCTACCGGTGGGCAGAGTGAGTCTGTTCTGTGACCCACTTAATATTATGAACTGGCACTGAGTGAAGGCACAGACAGACCTGTAGTCTCAGCTTGTGATGGTGCCTGGCCAGCTTCCAGTACATAGTGAGGACTTGTTTCAGCAACAATAGCCTGGCTGTTCTTGTTTTGTTTTGTCGATGTTTGGTTTGGTTTGTTTTTTGTTTTGTTTTTTTGAGACAAGGATTCTGTGTGGAACAACACTGGCTGTCCCAGGACTCACTCTCTGTAGACCAGGCTAGCCTTGAACCCAGAGTCTGATCTGCCTCCCTCTGCCTCTCGAGTTCTGGTATGAAAGTTGTCCAAAATCCTGGTTTTATGCAATGCTGGATATCACATCCCAGGCACCATGTGTGTTAGACAATCACTCCCTCCTCTACACTTCTAGTCCCTCTGTATACTCCAATCCAAATTTCTACCTTAATTTTTTTAAAGATGTATTTATTTATTTATTTATTTATCTATCTATCTATTTAATATGAGTACACTGTCCCTGTCTTCAGGCACACCAGAAGAGGGCATTGGATCCCATTACAGATGGTTGTGAGCCACCATGTGGTTGCTGGGAATTGAACCCTGGTCCTCTGGAAGAGCACTGAGCCATCTCTTAACCACTGAGCCATCTCATGAGCCCCCATCTGCATATTTTTAACGGTTCCTTATTGCCATTGTGTTGATCCTCAGGTAAGTTAGCTTCTGTACTCAGAGAGCTTGGTTCTTTGATTCAGTAATGATGATTCCAAAGTCAGAGCTGGGTACACATCAGGGGCCACAGTGGTCCTAAGGCTGGCCTGGGAAACGCGGGTAGACACACTCAACAGTGGGATATTGGCACTCGGTGGGCATGAGTGGGGCAAGTGAGGAGACTAGAGAGCCTGGAGGGCTTCCTGGAGGAAGAGGTACGACCACAAAATGGATATATAAAGGATAGACGCTTACTTTTTACATTTTATTGTGTTGGGGTTGGGCATGACACATCTGTGGAGGTCAGAGGGCATCTTTCAAGAGTTGCTTCTGTCCTCTCGCCACCTGGGTGCCAGGGGTTGAACTCCCAGCTGCTTTATCTTTACACTTTTGAGCTTACTGGGTCTTTGCAGCAATCATGTTGGATGTGAGTATGGGGCAAGTAATAGAATTCTTAGGAGGAGGGAAGACGCTGAAGATGAAAGAGATGCTACTTATGAAATAATATCTGGGGCTGGGTGGTGGTGGCGCACACCTTTAATCCCAGCACTTGGGAGGCAGAGGCAGGTGGATTTCTGAGTTCGAGGCCAGCCTGGTCTACAGAGTGAGTTCCAGGACAGCCAGGGCTACACAGAGAAACCCTGTCTCGAAAAACCAAAATAAATAATAATAATAATAATATCTGTTAGCCTGTCAAGAGTCAGATCCAGATCAATCTTCTTTGTTCATCTTTTCAAGACATGGTTTCTTGGTGTTAACAGTCCTGGCTATCATGAAACTCACTTTGTAGATAAGGCTGACTTTGAACTAACAAAGATTCACCTGCCTCTGCTCCCTCAGTGCTTGGATTAAAGGCTTGTGCCACCACTGACATGCTTATTTTAAATTCAGGTTATGTTTTTGTTTATTGTATGTTGCCGGGCCCCCCCCCCCCCCCCGGGATGCGGCGAGACCCTAGGGAAGGGGGCGAAAGAATGAA